TTCAATTTTTAGTTGAAAAAAAAAGAAGAGGATCCTAAAACCTCTACTGATTTTTTTTTGAGAAATAGCAGACAATAGGATTGAAATTTAAGCCAGATCTTGAATCCATTACTGGATGAACAGTAAGTAAAACATTACTATAATAGTGCTTTTTGTGCCTGTCTCTTATACACATCTAGCGTAAACAAGAGGTTAACTTTTGATATGTCGATATCATGTCATGAGCACACTTCAGTAATTATTTAATCACAATCTGTTTACTAAAGAACTAGGTTGATAGGTTGATGTCCTTGGTTCTAAGGTTACGCTCTACAGTTGGCCCTAAGGCAGTTTCTATCTACCGCGGTAGACTTGTATGCAATGTGATATGCAAATTTTCTGCATATACAGCCTTGTGTCTACCGCGGTGCGGTAGATTAAGGCTTACCGCGGTAGGATAATTTGGCGACGCTCCCTTACTGTTCTCAAAGTTGTTTCGCGTCGTCTTCATCAAATGTGGAACATCGCAAATAAAATATATATTCCTTGTTGGATCTATTTCATTGTGAGTGACATAAGTAATAGACGTTGATCCAGGAGTAGAATGTAGCCTATAAAACTTTCTATTTCGCGACGCACCATCCGAGATAAATGCTCGAACCCTGAAGCCCGCCGTCTCTACATACTCTACTGCTTCCCATAGGCACGAAAACAGTTCATCACTTGAGGCTCCTTTAGTGGGATAATATCCAACTGGGGCATGTAATTTGCAAAAGATGCCGCGCAACATCAACACTAAAACATGTGTTGCAACTGGAGGCTCTTCTTCTCCTTTACATCTCCTTTCAAATGCATTTATTTCATTACCAAGAGTTCCAACATCAGTGAAGCCCACAATCTGACCAGATCGGCTTGAAAAACCTAAGCCAGACTTGATCTTCATTTCATCAAACATTAGAGAAACGTCTTTCTTCAATTCACTGTTTTCTTTATTAAGGCCTATATCTGAAACAATCCGTTGCAGCATTTCAGGACAGAATCCGGAGGCGGTGTCTGCAAAGTGACTGTATGGATGAAGGGTTCTAGGGTGCGGCAATCGTAAAAAACCAGTTTCCCTCATAAGATTGTAGGCTGAGGCAGAACGGTTTTGCAAAGCGATGCACCATCGAATTATGGCTGGATGCCATCGCATTTGTTTACCTTTTTCATTTGAAATTTTTTGTTGCTCCCACAACAACTTTGCTGGTGAATCATCTGGCAAATCGTCCAGTTCAGTACATGCATTGAATGCCTCCATGAGCTGAGTCGATTGATGATGAGGAACCACTTCACTTTCAGCATTGTACATTTTGTTGACTCTATCTTCCAATGATGTATTTCGTCTCTTCAAACTACGCCTATCCATTTGAAGATGTACCGCTTTATTTTCAAGTTGGCGCCTTGTCAAAAACTTATTTGGAATTGTAGATGATGGAGAAACTTGCTCATCACACTTCTTTCTATGTAGTGCACTTCGCATAGCTGCCAAGTCAGTTCTGTGTATTCTGCATACATGACAGCGATCGCCTTCTACCAACAAATGACAATTGTTGTGACGGATGTTCTCATACTCGCTAAAATAACGGTCGTTAGAAGTTATCTTTAATGGAATCTGACCATCTGGTCCTCTCTTTGAATTTACAAGATCGCCGAAATCTCCATTCCCTACACATATACTTTTCGATGCAAGCAGGTGGCAAAGTCTCTCCGTATCTTCTACACATAGTGTATGCATATACTGCTCAAGTATTGAAGTTTTCCGAGAACATTCCACACCAGAAACAATCAATTTCCACGTGAAATTCTGGAAAATTGTAAGAGTGACTACAACTTTACCACATTTGTTCAGCCTTAAAATTTGTAGGCTTTCATCAGAACACCAGGACAAAAGTCCAGCCTTCTTTGCTGCTTCTTCATGGCATTTCAAAGTTGGTTGTGGTTCCTCTATGCATTTTGCATTAAATGTCATGACTGTAATGTTACAGTTAGCCTTCATGTTCTTCTGCATCTTTGTTTTCCATCGTTTTAATTTCAGTTCACAACACTGGCAGATATATGGAGGGTGTACATTTACGTCGTCGTTGCTGACATCAACTTCCAATGCAGCCATAATTATTCTTGAGAAGTTCTCTTTCATCAATGGTTGACGACCTTCTTTGATGGCTTTTGCACATCCACATAGTCTGCAAACAGTTTGCAAACAACTACAAAACTTGCTCATCGTATCTCGGTCTGTGCATTTTAGAAAGAAATAAAGTATATAATCATTCTTTGCTCAACGTCAAATCAAAATAACCTCATTTTTATGATTTTCATTTTCTCATTCTAATTTCAAAAGACTAAATTGATTGTGAGTGCCAATTAATCAGCTTCCTTCATCCATTACTATAAAACAGAGAATTGGAAGCTCAAAATAATAATAAAAAAAAAAGATACAAAAAAAAGAGAAAATTTATTATGAATTAATGATTTAATATTAGAACTGAACAGTAATTATCTTAAAAAGAAATACGTATACCAAGAATAAAATAATTAACCACAAATTACAAGTAAAAAAAAAATGATGAATGCAATATTTACTCTTAAGAAATCAAATAGGCCTAGCCCCTAGGCCTAGCCTATCCTAATAGGGCCTAGGCTTAGTAGTTTTGAAACTAATTTAAGCCACGATAGAGACCTATGGTAGCATAGGTCTTGCTGTATGGTGGTACTGTCGGTACTAGGTAGGCCTAGTGCGAACCGCCCTTCCTTCTCGTCACATATAGGCCTAGGCCACCTAGGCTAGGCCAAGCCTAACCAAAAAGCTAACGATAGCCTAATATTTAATAATAGGCCTAATCTTTAATTTAATTTTTTTTTTATAAGAAGTTTGAATGGGTACGATTGTTGGAAATTGGCCAGAGTCATACTAGGCCTAGACTAGACTTCCGACCGTATTTTGTAATCGGTGAAATCGGCACAGAAAAACCTCCACATTAAAAATTAAATTTCGTCAATGCACAATATTGCACATGACTCTCGCATCCACAAACATGAACATCGATAAATTCTCAACACAGCAACTTAATTTCAACTTTATGAGATTTACGGAACATTACATTATAAAAGAATAAAAATAACACATTTTAGTGATACTGTAAAATACTTGAAACTTACATTTGTGTGTAAAATCTGTTCTAATAAGCCGATTTTCTTGGTTTAAAAATTAAAATTTTCAGCATTAAAATATCTATATAAATTACGCAAGACCGCTTGAATTCAAAGAAAAAGAAATGAGTGCGCATGCGTTTTATATTTAAGGTCAGTTTGTTTGTTGTAAATTACTTACTTTATACACAAAAACAAGTGACTCGCCGATGAGGGACACGGCAAGAACCTCCAGTTATAAAGAGATAAGATCGTAGATAACACACGGGCGATCGTAGTGCTTTAGTATAGCAAAAACGGCGTGTTTAATTAGCGTGTAATTGGATTTTAGATAAGGGTGCAGGTCGTTGCAACTCCTTCTGTTTCTTTGCTCTATGATCAGACGCATCGGTATCCAGTATGAAACTGTCCTCTGCGTTGGGAAGCGTAAGAACAGGAGGCTCCATGAGTCTCTGTTTGAGGGTCTCGAACGCCTCGTGTTGAGGAGTCCCCCAACAGAAGGCACCCTTCTTGGCGATATCATATAAGGGACGAGTAATCTCTGCGAAACGCGGGATAAATGTCCTATGATAATTCGCTAGGCCAAGGAAACGTTGTACGTCCTTGAAATTCACTGGTCTAGGCCAGTCTCTAATGGCAGTGACGTCGGTGTCAAGACACCTCAGCTGAGTCCCGGGAGACTATTCGCCCTAAGAATTCTACTCTAGGCTGGTAGAATACACACTTCTTAGGTTTAAGTTTAAGGTTGTATAGGCGAAATCGCCCTAAAGCCTCCCGGAGATTAGCAGAGTGATCATCGAAAGATTTACCTAAGATAACTACATCGTCTAGAAAGGCGAGGGCTGTTTGCCAATTCAGCCCCCGAAGTACCATGTTAATCACCCGAGAGAAAGTAGCCGGGCTATTACACAGACCAAAAGGCATTTTCACAAACTCAAATAGCCCGTACTTAGTAACAAACGCCGTCTTTTTGCGGTCTTCGGCATTTAAATTAACTTGCCAATAGTCCGAGATAGCGTCTAGTTTTGAAAACCATTGATTGCCAGATAATGTATCTAGGCAATCATCCAGGATAGGTAAAGGATAGACATCCTTTACGGTGACGTTATTAAGTGCACGATAATCTATGCAGAATTGCACATTTCCATCACGCTTACGCAGACAGGCGCTGACGCCCAGGCCGATGTAGACGGTTGGATAATACCCCCCCCCCCCGTAACATCTTGTCTAATTCTTTCTTTTCTTCCCCTGCGAAATGTAACGGTGTACGGCGCAGGCGTTGTTTCACAGGAGGAGCCTCCCGCGTACCAATCCTATGTTCAATATTGGGCAGCTCTCCTATATCAAAGGAGTCCTTGGCGAAAACATCGCCAAATTCAAGTAACAAATTTTTAACTTGTTCAGTCTGAGGCTGAGATAAATGACCTATGGAGGCTTCATAAGGCGCCTGCAAATGTTGCGGCAACGCAACTGATTCACGAGGTGGGACAGGGCCCTGCATGGGACAGACCTCCGCCACCGTCGCGGTGCCAATTTCCCTTCCCTTGCGCAATGTAATATAACTATTAGTAGTATTCACTACACAGATAACGGGTGAATCACCCTGCTTATGAGCTGTTCTTGGTATAATTAGATGGCGTGGGGGCCCTCGTGAGGTTAGTGGTAAGTGAAACAGACTTATTGGCAAACTTAAGTTGCATATTACCTATATCAACTGCGGCTTTCGCAGCTTGCATGAAGTCTAAACCTAGTAGCATGTCGTCGTCAATAGGCGCGACGTATACTACCATAGGGTAAACCGTCTCCCCTACATTCAGTTGGACAGGGCCTACCCTCCGCCCCGTCATGGTTACACCTTTTCCCGCTAAGAATAGCTTAATAGTACCCACTGTGGGTGGTTTTGGATCGAGTGACTGGAAAACACGGTCGGCAATAATGCTAACAGTCGCTCCGCAGTCTACCACTGCTTGGATTCGGGTGGAAGCCACCATAACACTGGCATGAAGCAAGGAATCAGATTTACCCTTTGAATTACCAGTGATTCGGGGGCAGATTCGCCCTCCGAAAGACCCAAAACCGGCGCTATACGTTTAAATCATCAGGTATATTAACTTCCGGGTTAGCAATCTTAACCGACTTCTTGCCCGGTTGATTGATACGAGTGGGACAATCCCTCATGAAATGCCCCTGTTCCCTACACGCATAGCACTCCATCGGCCTCTCGGGAGACCTGCGTCTTTTAGGAGACTTACGCCTTTCCCTTTCGGCCTTAAATTCGCTCATCACATTACCTATGAGCGACACTAGTTGATCTAATTTGTCTACTACTATTTGGTCCGTCCCCTTCTCCCCGGTTCCTACGGCAGGGGGTGGAGGAGGGGCTTGCGGAGCCGGTGATACTTGGCGGTTTTTCCCAGGGCGCCGCCACCCCGGACCTCGACGAACTTCATCGAGCCAACCCACTTCCGTGGTATCCCCGAACAATAAATCAGATTCGGAATCTGTAGTTGGCGTGATTTGGCACACCTTGCCAGACCCGGATTCAGTAGAGGTAGTTGACGTGCACTCTTTCATGCACTGAAACCACTCGATTTGCTCGAGTGCTTGATGCAAGGTTCTAGGACGCTGCAGTTCCGCGTACTTGCCGGCGTCGACATTGCGACAACCCATACAAACACGCATTGCCGTTGCAGCGTCGATACTCGCTGCTGTTTCGTTGTCTTTATAGGTCTTAACAGCCGCCGTGAATACACGGGCACCCCAGTCATGAAGTCATTCGCCTTCTGACTGTTGGAGAAGTTGAAACTTAGTTTTTAGAACCTCCCTGGGCTCATCACGCCCGTAGAACCCATCAAAGGACCTCAGGATAGTGTCCTAATTAACCATCCCCCCACGAGCCAGACTCAGATTCTGCAGGTAGGATGCTGCTTTCCCTTTAACACACTGAAAGAAACCCTCCTTCCTTTCTTTTGGGCTTAAATCTTGCGCCCTTGCATACGACTCGAATCGGTCCCTAAAGACAAGCCAATCCTCCTTCCCTGTAAATTCTAAATTTTTAGGCATTTTAACCGGGGCACGACCAGGTCGGTCTTGACGTCTTCGCCTAGGGGCGTTAGATCGATCCCGATCACTATAATCCCTCCCACGCCTGGTTCTAGCCCGCCCCCTAGGATGGTCAATGGGGTCAGGAGACCTTGAGTCGGATCTATTACGGTTAGTGTCTCGAGAAACTCGAGACCTGGGGTTCCCCCGGTGATTATCCCGTGGTAAGGCGCGCTCCGCCTCAAAGGCATCATCACTAAAGGAAGAACCCGAGTCGTCCCTATCCACATAGTGATCCCTAGGGTGAGACCGACATACCCCTATCATAAGAACCCCTAGGGCTAGACCGCGATTGCATATCACCATTCCCCCGCGTGGGGCGCGTGTGCTCCTGATAAGCAGATACACCCCTACGTACAGGTGGAGAGGGTGAGTGGTTACGCCATCTAGGATAAGTGTGGTCAAGAGACGTATAACTGTCTCTATCATTCTATCATAGTCTTGGCGAGGCGGGGTAGGGTTACGCCTACTTTGCCTAGGTGAATGTGGCGGTGAAGAACGATGACGTTCTCTACCATGACAAGATCTAATAGTGACGCGACTGCGTCCTCTAGATGCTTGAGGTTGGGGACTTGTTGACGCTCCTGGTCAGATTGGGTGCATACCACACCCTGGGGTAGAACTGGTGGGGCTATCTGATTAACCTGTGCGCCCCAGTTCGGAGTACCATAAGACCTATAACACCCTTGGTCCACTACTTCACGAGGTACACCTCCCCCCGGGACAGATTGGCCCACAGCAGCATAAGTTGTGTGTTGGGGTGCAGTATGCGTTGTACTGCCATGCGCAGTAGACACCGGGCCAGATTGGGTCCCTACACCCCTAGTCACTGTGCGAACTGGCATGGTCGCCGGGCGCTGTGGTGGGGTTGTGGTAGAAAATAACGATAAGCTTCCTCATAGGAGGGGGTGGGCTTTCCTTCCGTTGGACGCGACCCGCGTCGACCCCCAACGAATGGGGAGCAAATGGATTAACCCTAGGAGGGGGCGGGTTAGATGCCGGCGGATACACCCTATGCATATTAGCGCCTGGCGGTGATTGGGAATGGTCAGTCACACCTACTGGTGTCCAAGCATCCCTACCCCCTACAGTGCCCTCATTACGAGCCCTCCATACGGCATAGCCATCCCGCCGGAAATGCGGGCTAGGAGTATAATCAAAATAAAGACCCCTAAGATCTACAGGATCGGACCCTAAAGCTACCTGTAATGCAGTTACATCATTTATATTGCCATACTCTTCACGAAACTCGAGAACCTCGTCGATGAGAGGCCCCAGCAAAGTATCATGGAATTCTGAACGCCGGGTCACCAAGTTGACCGGAATCGGAGGGATGTCATCTGGTTGGTCGTCCATCTGCGGAAGGAAACAAAATCGCAAATAGCACTGATACACGTCTGGGCAGATCAACACTGAACAGCAACTGGCAAATAGCACCATGGTTGATTAGAAAATACGCACAACAGTAGCGCATAGCGCGCAGCACGTGATCCTAGCCTATACTAATCAACTATTCCTAACCAAGAGCAAGACATACATGATCATTATGTAAGAATTAATAGACACCAACCCCCGGAAAATATACTTTATTACATAAAGTAGAGTAACATTCATACAAGGCAATAATAAACGAATGATAGTTAACAAAACAACGTTAACCGAACAACCCAGCCGACGCCAGTGATACAACATAACAAAAGATAGAACATAAACTCAAATAGAAATAAGCTAAGTATAATATAATACAACTACAACTAAAAAATAAAAACAAGGTCCGATAAAATAACCTTATACTGAGAAATAAAATAACTCAGGCCTACACCCAAGAATTAGAACTCAAAATTGAACTAAAAATAACTAAAGACAATCCTTTAAGCATCAAACCCAGAGCTGGGAATGACGATGGCCTGCCAATAAAATTAGTACGCCAGGGAAATCCCAAAGTACAGTCTGTATCTAAACACACCAAGGAGATCCCTATATTCCACGTTACTATTTAAGTCGAAGACTAAAACAACGTTACCAGGCCGAAAATAGCTCAGCCAGGCTAAAAATAGCATTACATCACTAGGGCTATACGTCAGCCAATCGCCGACGACTAGAATGGAAAATTACAGCAAAATAACCTTTGACCTGAAATCTAGGTCAGGCGAAAACGCCAACGCCTAACTATGATTGGTTAAACCTATTGAAGCAGAAGCTAATGACGTCACCAACACTGACTGTTGTTGTTGGCGAGAAGTTAAGCCAAAGTTTTGCTCGAAAGCGAGGCGCCGCGGTTGAAATATGATCACCACGGTGAGATAGCAACAATGGCTACCCTAACTGACAGCGGCGGCCTAGATTCTATCTCGGCCTAGCGCCGTCTCAAAATACGATAAGAATACAATACAGCCTACTCATAAGGTCGAGACAGACCGATAAAACATAGCAGCTAGCTAAAACGTGTGGCAAGAACAAAATAAGCACTAAAAAACATAAAAAATCGTCCGTCTAGCTAGTCTACTCTAAAACGTCACGACGACGTGAGATTGGCCGCTCGTAAGCTAAGCCTAATTTGACAAAATACTACCTAAATAAATAAAAATACGAAAATAAACTAGCTAACCGTCTGAGACATCTCAGACACTAGGCTAGTCCCGAACACTTCAGACTTGAGGAGACAGTCTAAATGGTTCAGGCAATACACTGGCTTCACTCTCGGCCTCCCAGTAGGCACGGGCCCCAGGTAACAATCCCACATGGGGCCCATATGCAAAATATCTGGGAAAAGTCTTATGGGCTACCCCATATTTTTCCCTTATGGGATCCGTCTGGGCAATCACATATGGGGCTTGCCCATAGTTTACCCATATGGAGCCCATATGCCAAATATATAGGCAAATATATATGGGAATGCCCATATTTAAAGTACATGGGCCCCATATGGTAAATACCTTCGCAGATAAATATGGAAATGCCCACATTTAATCCGCATGGGGCCCATGTGCCAAATATCTGGGAAAATACATATGGGCATACCCATATTTATCTACATGGGGCCCACATGCCGAAGACCTGGGTAGTTGAATATGGGCTGTCTCTTATACACATCTAGATGTGTATAAGAGACAGGCATGCGCACACACTTATTAAATAAAAAGTACCGCAATGGAGCATTCATGTCATAACTGTTGCTACGTATAACGTCTTAAAAATAAAGTATAATTAACAGTGGGTCAGAGGGGAACCCAGGGCATAATTATCTGCCCGGGTATGTGGCATGTGGGGCCCATGTAGAATGAACATAAGAATGGCCATGCATTTTCCCA